ACAGATGCCCCTGCTTATCAGCCAGTACAAACCGACGCTCCTACACCAGCTCCCACAAACCCCCCAGCTTATGTACCAGTACCAGTATACGACGAAGAGGTCTAAAATCGATAAAAGTAATGAAGCTAAAATAATAAACATAGCTAGACAGCACAAGTAAAACTAAAAATTGTAGTGATTTTTGTGGTTCATGCATGTGACCTGATTTTCAATTAGATAAAACACAATGTAAGGTTAAATTTAGCTATGAATTTATTTGCGTCTTAATAAAGATTAATAACTGTGAGAATACATGCAAGGAATCTGGACCGGAATTCTTAATCGATGGTATAAAGGGAATGATCTGTGTAACGTGGGGTTTGAATTCAAGTTATTCTAATATATATTGTCTACTATACTATTAAAGTACAACTTCGTCTTCATAATGTGTGTCTTTTTCATGTCGTCTTTTGACTTTTTTTCTTTTTATTAATTCAGCGGTGATTTCAGTGTAGGCATTCGCTACATTCACTAATGCCTGCAAAGGCAGTCGCGATACAAATTTTTCCGCTCTTCTGTCAAGTGCTAAAGCAGGGTTATTTATGAGCGTCATTAGAAGAGCCCAACGGTTCCTTATTCTCTTGCTTCTACGCTCTTGGTAGAGAAACGAAAAGGAAACCCTCGGGTGTCCTGCAAAAAAGGAAATGATCATGCGCGGATTTGAATTAATATATAGATCTAACGCGACCTTCTCCCCTAAAGCCTCAGTGGCCGAGCGGTTGAGATCTCGTCTAGCAAACGAGAGGTCAGTAGTTCGAGTTCCGCGAGAACCCAACTGAGGCAGATTTTAATCTGCTTATACACATTGACAAAAACACATTTCATAAAGGAAATATTGTTTCTATATAACGGTATTATATTACATTTATTTGCATTCGTTCTATTCTTCCACGAGCTTCACATAACTGAAGAGTGTCTTTTACTGTGTTTTGTGGGCATTTCCATTCTACGCATTCTAATTAAAAAATGCCATCCATGCATAGTTCAGTTTGGTTTTGGGATCCTTCGTTTTACACAACTCAGGACTCCCCAAGGTTCTTAAAGTGGTTTTACTTTTACATAGCACTAACCTTCGACTTCTAGGAGTTCAAAGTTTTCTGATGATCTTGAGAACTTTGTCTTGCGGCTGACCACCACGAGAAGTATACGGCAGAACGTGACTAGTACAGGGTTAGAATGTGTGTGCTCCAAGTAAAGATACCCTAGATAAGCCTCGTAACCTTTCATGWAACCAGAAGGAAAACCTTTAATGTAGATTTAGCATTATCTCCAAGAGATCAGTTTACCTATATGCCAGTCAACCAAAATCGTACAGTTTGTTAAAATATTAGGCAAGGTTCAGTATGCTTCCTTACTCCTCCTCAATTAAGGGAAATTGGGACATTGGGTCATTGGTCATATAAATGTATAGATGTCAAGCTTTCTTACCAGGATCACAAAGTTCATAATCCCTTGGTACCAAACTCTTTTGAAGTCGTCCAAGGAACATAATCCAAATTGCAATGCAGACTATAATCCTCTTTAACAAAGATACCACTCCAAGAAAAATGTTGAAGAAGAACAGGAAATAGGTGAAAATGTGAAAAAGTCGCCTAAAAGCAATTCAAAAATATGTAACTATAAAAATGATCGTAATAAACAAACTGTACCTTATTCGTACATTCCCTTTCACGCTAGATAGACTGCAATCGTGTTTAGTCAGAAAGGGGTACAAAGCCTGCAATGAGGGTAGACTGCAGAAAGTAGGAAGTCGCCAACACCGCCAATGCTGCAATGCACGAGTTGGATCTGGGAGCGACCTAAAATTTGTGCTCGCTTTGTAAGGGACTGCTGGTACGAATAGCATGAACTTTTTGGTAGCTATCTCCAAAGGTCAGAAATGTCATTTTATTTTATCTTATCGACAACACGAATCCAAAATAACCAATTTTATTGTTAGAATGGAAAGGTTATATACAAAAGTAAAACACATTTGAAATAAATAAATGTAGGGTTGCTTCAATTCATACCTATTATTAAGAGTCAATGTTGCTCCTTTGTCATGAAGAAAAACAAACTTGGCCATCAAATACTGAGATAAGAAGAGTAACAACGAAAATAGGATTGTTGGCCTGGAAAAAGAAGGGCAATATGGCTACTTAATTCTCTGTCACTTTAAAAAATATATACATTTTCCACTTGTCCAGCATTTCCACTTTTGCCACAAACTCTTGATTGCCGAATTTCTGTTACCTTGAGCAAATCTAGAGCCATACTGCTTCGTGTCACCAATGTCACAAATACAGTTTAAATAATTATCCAAAATAGTTCCCTTGACAATTCCCTGCGCCATCTTGAAAGGTAGCCATGCCTTTACTTCGAAGCGAGACGAACGGTGAGCTTGCAATGATAGAGACCTGTGAATAATAGTCCCTTTCACAGTTCCCTGCGCCATCTTGAAAGGTAGCCGTGCCTTTGCATGGAAGCGAGACGAACAGTGAGCTTGCAATGATAGAGACATGTGAATTATTATCCAAGGTGTTAAAAAAGGTCTCTATCATTGTAAGCTCACCGTTCGACTCACGTTCGATGCAAAGGCACGGCTACCTTTCAAGATGGCGCAGGGGACTGTGATTTGATAGAATTCGATGTATAATGCCAATATTAAAGTCCATGCATATATTAATATACTGTATGTCTTACCAAATATTTYGTATCATAGTGTACAAGAAGGAATCAAGCTTTCCTCTTGTCAAGGGTTCTATGATTTCTATTCCTATGAGAGTGCAGACTGCAAACAGAAGAAAGTGCATGACGAGAAAGCCTAGGAAAACAATAAATATTCATTAGTTAGTAGCCTTAAACCTCCCAAAGGCATTTCTAATTTATCTTCTCTGTATCATTTTTCGATTAGTGGGTTACCTGTATACTAGTTTGGTCGCGTTGGACTGAAAGAGAACTTATACTAACRTATACTTTCGTGTGGGAGGTTTTGAGTGCAATCCCCGACTTRACCAATACTCTTAAAATGTGCTGCCTTTGTAATGACACTCAGCACCATTAAGGCATGGCTCTTTTGAGGAAGTGATGGAAAATCAGTTATTTATTCATATCTTTGACAGTTTA